CTGTCGTAACTCCATCGACTGTATGACATGCTCCTGTTGCTGCTAACTCCTTCCATGACTTCTACGGGGTGTTGCTAAATAGGGTTCAACGTGACAGGAAAATAAAACCTGGGTTTAGATATCACGCCGAGATTTCCCACCAGTTCTAGCGTTTCCTCCTCGAACGAATGGGAGTTGAGATGTGATGCACAGGGATTCACTTTCTATAGGCTATACCATTTGGAATGAGAAGGGAAAAAATCAGTGCGCGCAAGTTGACAAGCTTGTCAATAATTTGACGAATGCATTGGTTGCTCCTTTGGTTGCGCGCACGAAGCCATCTCCCCATGTATTTCGATTAAATACATAATCGTGTAATTTTCACATCACAACGAGCAAAAACATCAAATTTCACTTGTATTTCATTAAAATATGTATCATCTCCATCCTCTGTAACAGTATCCCCCAGATTGTAACGCCCGTTGGTCTCATCTGGTGATGATGTTGGAAAGGTGCAGCATTGTGATTTGAATTATTATCTCCATTTGTTGGCCTGCCATTCATACCATCATGATTTAATTATTCATGGACAGTATTGAACTCCTTGGGCATGATTGATAGCCTACACATGCTTATATATTCATGTTTTTCTTTCTGGTTGCACTGAGAATGAAATATCATTTTCAGGCATATACAAGTGGTCAGAGTTATCTGTTGATATTACTTGGCCTTCTGGGGAGACATACCTTCTGTAAAACTGTCTTTGCTTCAGAAAATCAACATTGACCGAAAGCAATGCCTTAATAACACAGAGAAATCACTGCTTCTGTACACACAGACACACACACACACATGTGCGTACACACACACATTTTTCTAACAAAATTACATTTTTAAATTTTTAGTCATTTAGCAGACGCTCTTATCCAGAGCGACTTACAGTTAGTGCATACATTATTTAATTTTTTTCATACCCCCCGTGGGAATCGAACCCACAACCCTGGCGTTGCAAACGCCATGCTCTACCAACTGAGCTACATCCCTGCCAGCCATTCCCAGCTTCATCCCCAAATATATGTATTAACACTGATTGACAACATAAGCCAGTCACAGAAAGCATGGGTTGAATCTTTTTGGGTTGTGTCTGGAGGTGTTTGGCACATAGGCTTATTATTGCCTTTAATACAACCTGTTGACCCTGAATCCCTTGAACTCTCCTTGACGGCTCAGAGGGGGAGAGAGAGAGAGATGTGATGAATGCCTGACAGCCAATGTCCCTTAGGATTGGCCTTGAAGGTCACTTAGCAAAGGCATTGAAAAAGTAGAGTGATAGTTGCCAATTCGGAGCAGTCATATAGTTCAAACTAGAACATAATTACACTGAACAAAAATGTAAATGCAACATGCAACAATTTCAAAGATTTTACTGAGTTACAGTTCATATAAGGAAATCAGTCAATTGAAATAAATTCATTAGGCCTTAATCTATGGATTTCACATGACTGGGCAGCCAATCAGAATGAGGTTTTCCCCACAAAAGGGCTTTATTACAGACACAAATACTCCTCAGCACCTGTGTAATGATCATGCTGTTTAATCAGCTTCTTGATATGCCACACCTGTCAGGTGGATGGATTATCTTGGCAAAGGAGAAATCATCACTAACAGGGATATAAACAACTTTGTGCACATTTGAGAGAAATTAGCTTTTTGTGCGTATGGAACATTTCTGGGATTTGTTTTTTCAGCTCATGAAACATGGGACTAACACTTTACATGTTGCGTTTATATTTTTGTTCAGTGTATATAGCCCACTCCTGCCAAGGCCAAGCCCAACTCATAAGATTTCACAACATTTCTAACAGCACAGTAGGATTGAAAGAGAGTGTGCGGATGAATAAAGAGGTCCCTCATTATGAGGTACATTGAAAGTTCACACAAAAAGCTGTGTCAGTTACAAGAAAGAGGTAAATACATATAATGGTCATCAGATTTTCTAAAGCAGCTGGTTTGGATGCCTGCCTTCCGGACTGTGACTTTGAGCCAAATGCAAAGCAAGATCTTTCTTTGGGACATTGAGAGGGATTGGGATTCGCCTAGGAAGTGTGGATGAGTGGACACCCTCCCTTTCTCCTGCCAAACCCCAGTGTCAATGGATAGACGCTATGAGGGGGGAGGCGGTGGGCCTTGGCAGTCTCAATAGGGGTCCCTCAGAGGCATGGTGAATCAGACCCAAACTCAATAGACAAAGGGGTTGACTCCCTGACAACCGGGACAGGCACCTCAGACAAACCGTGAGAGTTTGGGGATGTGCAGTAGCCCACTGAGTCATGACTTTAAAAAACACGAGGCAGCTGGGAAATTGTGTCCCAGTGAACGGTTGAGATTATACAATGCCATGTAACGATTATACAATGTCTTGTAACCTTTCCAAATAAATCTCCCACTCCCTCCAGAGAAACTCAGCATGACTACTGATTGATGATGGTGCTGGTGAACGAGGAACAGAATTCTCTTTGATTTAATTAGGTGATTTGCAGTAATAAAGGGTGCCATTGAAATCCTTGTCCTTATTAGTGCCCACATTTTAGGCTTTTGAATACAGTAGAGTGAGTCAGCAAAACACAGGTGGAGGGTATGAAACCAAGTGGTAACCAAGTGGATGCAGAAATCCATTAAGAGTGTCACTCAAACATAAAATGCCTACAACAACATGATATTTGTGTATTTTGTCTCATGTTGATGTGTGGGCTTTCATTACTATTCAATTCTGAGTTTTCAAGATGGGGTTCTAGTTTGAACCATGTTAAAAGACAAGGAATATCATGCACCATCATCAATTATACGTCCAATCGACAGTTTTACGAATTTAAGAGGCACCGCACTTCCCAACATATATCCTATCTCGTCTCCTTCTAGTGTAGACAATGACAAAGAACTAATTAAGGAACAGGAGAGAGAGAGGGAGAGAGATGACATGTGTACGGGAATTGTGCCCTCCCAATACTTACTATTTTCTCTGTGTCCCATTCCCTTAATCTGAAATGAGAAACTGTAGTATAGCTATGCTCCGACCCTCTCGCCTCTCATTTGTGGTGGAGCTGATAATCACTGCAGCAGATAGTAGCTGGACATCACTGAGCAAGCACAGTGCTTGCAGTTGTGTGTACATGTGGGAGAGATGCAGTATACATCACTGTGTGTTCATCTCTACAATGGAAACCCTGAGGGCAAAACAGACTGTAATGTTCCGTGATACTTCGGTGAGAAGAACTGGAGTTATTCACCCAGAATTGCTGCATTGTCTGAGATCTCTACTCCTCTCCCTGCTTCAATCTTGCACCTTCAGAGCCCTGCACATCCTCTTCTCTGAGTACAGTACCTGAGTTCCTCTGACTGGAGTATAAATGTGGTTGAGACAGCAGCCAGGTGGATGTCGTATACTGTACAGTAGTATGCATGAGGAGGATCCATCTCTCTGTGCATCCATAGCTGCTCTGTATTAAAGTAACAAGGATACTGTTGTGCTGCCAGTAAGGCACAGAAAATTAAGGACATCCTAAGGTCTCCCTCCCTCCCTTCCCTCTGTGTATTTGATCAAAGGCCTGGAGTTGAGCAGAGGTCTACAGCCAACTCAGACATATCTCCAGATACAGCCTTTCATGCATTATTTATCTGAGAATTAAGGGGGAAATGTCTCCTGAGCCCAACTGCCGCCTGGTCAAAGCCTTGCTTTCATTTCTGCCAGCAGATAGAAATGAATGAGATCCAGTTGATGAAAATAATGTCCTCTGCGTGACTTTTTAGAAGCCATTACAGATCCAACCTAACTCCACAAATATCACCAGAAATGATTTGACAGCCGTGGGTTACAGAGGCCCAGCAGTGACAAATGTGTGCCCCCTGTGTCTCTGACTTTCTCTTTCTAGGTCCAGAGACCCTGGCCTGCAGTGACAAAGCTGTCTCTGACTTGTGTAGTGACTGTAGATTGCTACAGATGCTATGAATGAGTACAAGCATAATGTGAGTGGATTGCCATTGCATCTGTTCCCCAGTCAATACAATAATTTAGATAATGTAGAACCAGTCAAAGGACTTACTACTACAGCTCACCTTGACTTCCAGTAGCCTACACAGCAGACGTTCAGAGGCTATGTATTCAGACTCATGCACCACATTACGTAGGATTTCTCCAGTATTCAGCCGTAGCAGTCAGAATTATACAATGTATGGTTATTTGGTGACAAAGCCAGGTAGAATGGTAATAGCATTTAAATGACTGTGCTTGACTTGAGTGCACTACACACTGTATTGTTCCCAGCACAGCAACACCACGCAGATGACTCAGAGTCAAGGCCACCGTGAACACACAGCCAAAAGTAGGAATTATCTTCAAGGGTTCTTTTCAAACCAAATCTCACAGTGATCCTCTCGATTTATGAGACATTTGTGCAGGGTACTATGGCAACCATGGCCCTGTCCCGCTATCTCCCCTCCAGAGTTGTGTGTTACATTCTGGAGCCGGCTAATCAGAGGTGAAGAATTGAAGTGCTGCCTGGCGTCTGACCCCATATTTCTGCCGTGATGATGGAGATGACTAGAATAACATGACCCTCAGCCAGAGGTGAACCACAGGTCACACTTACCCTCCATACAAGAACACATCTCTTCCTGTTAGACAGACCCAGCTGGAAGACAATAAGCTTTAGTAGAATGAGTTAAATCACTAATAAGATAGAGACGTTTTCACGCAGACAGTTTAGAGGTGGTGTTAATGTTGGAATGTTATTAGTGAAGATATTAGTGGTCCATCCTCATTATGACAACAGGTGTTCAGTGGGTCTAAAAGAATGGAGTCTTCTCATCTTATTCCTCTTAGATTGGATACATCAATTTTCTCAAAGGAATATCTGCCAACACAACTGTTATTGTTCCACCTCTCTTCACAAAACAAGGTCAACAAAATATGAAGTTCACCAAATACAGGACTTCTCGGAAAAACAAAAAACAGAAGGAATATTCTCTATTATAGTTGGCTGAATGACAGATTTTATTATAGCACCAGAAGCTATACATGGGGCAAGGGGCATGGACGTGAAAAGAAAAACAATAGAATGAATTTAATGTACTGTACATAAAGTCTGCCAAAAGAGGGGAGGTGGTACTTTCAGACTCCACCAGTGAGCAGAACACATGATTCTGTGACCGAAACCTTGACCTAGAGAACAGTGAAGATCCAAACCTTGACCACAATCCACCCTGCCAGTAGGTCAGGTGGGCTGAGTGGAGGTGCTCAGCCAACACATTGGTTGACATTTGCAGTATGGGCATTGGGCAAGGTAGTGGGGAATGGTCAAGGAAAATGTGTCACCAACACCAAGAACTCTTGGAAGATTAGTCCATATGAGGACTAAATAAGATCCTAATCAAATCAAATCAAAACCACCAGAGGAGAAAAGGTTCTGGACCACAGGTTGGTCAAGAACCAATGTAGCAAATGTAGGCCTAGAGTCTTCATCAGTTCAAAACCAGCTAAGGGAATTATACATTCCTCTTTACATATACACAAAGCTGTGCTGTGAGAGCATATTCACTTACAAACATATAAAAAATACTTGTCAACTAGTTTGATAAGAAAATAATGTATAAAAGTATAAAGTAAAAACATTTAATCAAGTCCATCAAATAATCACTTTCATCTTTTTCTTTTTGTCTTATATTACATGATGACATAACTACAATAGTTCATTGGTTTCTATTAAGCAGAAATACAGATCATATGGAAAATGATGACAAGACAACAGAATGTGTGAATTGTCTTGATGTTAACTTTAAAGGTGAGAGGTCAGGTGATGTAATGGCAATGATGTAACCTCCATGTGACTGTGGGAGTCATGGAAACAGCTCCAAACTGGCCCAGAGTCACACCAATAACCTTGGAGAGAACATGAACACATCTCCATGAATCATTGAAGGCGGTGTGTAACAAACAACCATGTCATTGGAATGAAGTTACAGTTTGTTTAGAAGTGAGCTTCAACAGCTCAATACCTCTGTCTACTTTAAGTAATACCTATGTTCCAAAAGAGAGCCAAATAGATGAAAGAAAAATCAATGTTCAAACTGAAAGGGATTGATTTTAAAAGATATGTCAGAGAGGAGCATTTCTGAAACTGGTTTTCTAATAACATCATTATCAGTGAGGTACATAAATACTACCCATGGTCTCTTGTGCACTGCTTGTCAAATATTTAAAATATGAAGAGTTTAAAATGTTTAATTCTGATTAGGCCAACCTGACTCTGAGATAGTCAACAACAGGTAAGAGTCAGAGAAGAGTGGAACAACTAAATAAATAAAACAGGTTTGATATCATGGAATTAGAAGCCTCGGATATAAACCTTACAATGCAAATACAGTAAACATTCCATATTTGGCCACTGAGATGAGTACAGAATCCATAGACATAGAAATGGATCCGCTGCCGACGCTGGAAAGTTAAGTCGTCATAATAACTTTAGGGCTATCTAGGTATATACTGTACAGTGTACATACTTGTATACGTTATGTTCATATTTTTCAAACCAAACTCATCAACCTTACACGCTGTACTGTGGCGATTTAATAAGTCATTAGAAATGCGCTTTCAAAATCACAACAAATTTCACTTATGTACAGTAGCGGATTAGCACATGGAAGTAAAAACGGATATGGTATGACATACACAAAGCTTCATAAGATCATCTCTTTCTCTATTCTGATGAGAAACTGGTAACTAACAAACCTCTCATTGACATTCTGGATATATATATTTCTCATTCAATCTCGGCAGAAAGTACAAATGTCACTACAAGGCAAGAAAAAGTCCTTCAGAATACAAAAAATTATATTGTTTAGCTGATTTAAGAGGCAATGTTTAGTGTTAGGACTTTCTCATATGAATTTGATTAATGTTGAAGGTCAAGTGGTGTTTTTTTAACATTTGGCGTTGTCAGTTTCTTCTAGAAGTGAAGTCCGGGAGCTGGGTGGGGGGCAGCAGTTCCTGGTAGCTACCACAGGAGTCATGCACGTGGAGAAGGCAGCGCTCAGCCATCCATACAGGATGTCATGTCAGGCAGGGGGCGGGGACTGGTGACAGTAGCTGGGTGAGTGACAGTGATAAGGCCCACTCAGACGATCACACAATGGCAGCCACTCTTGTCCTTTTCTTTCCGCGTGGGTTCTGGCGAGGGTGGGCATTCCTGTTCCTGGAATTTCCTGTGAGGAGAAAGTACATTATTACATTATGAGTAAGCAGAGATAGAAGGATTCTAACAAAATAATCTGACTCATAACATCATAAAGCAACAATTGTTTTGTTCTTCCTTTGAAAAAACTATAATTAATTGCATTCAGTGTAGGTGAGATCACATCCTGTAGTTGTCTTCATAGAAATGGTATTCCTTTACTTCTACAGATAGATCATTGACATTAGGGCGTTCTCACATATGAGATTCGGTACCCTGGTTCAGTTTTCTGGAGCATTTGTGAGAATTCTACAGAATACATTTTGATTTCACAAGACCTGAAAATAACAGTTTCAGGGTGTAATTAGCAAGACGCACATTCTACATCAGTGTTTTCCAAACCTGGTCCTCCATTACCCCCAACAGTACAAATGTTTATTGTAACCCTGGACAAGCACACCTGATTCAACTTGTTAACTAATCATCAAGCCCTCAATGAGTTTAATGAGGTGTGTTTGTCAAGGGCTACATTGAAACGGTGTTCTGTTTGGGGTACTCGAGGACCAGGGTTGGGAAACACTGTTCTACATGATGTCAGCAAGCTAGCTTGTTTACAATGAGCAAAAAAGTTCCACGCGACTCGCACTGCCGCGTCAATACCTGGTCCTCTAGTCCTGGATCTTGGACCCGCTACTGACGCAGGACCAGGATTCGTTTCAGCTAGGGTTAGTTTCTGTTTCACACATGCTTTATAGCTCAGATCACGGTACCAAACGTTCCAGGGTCCGGATCATAAGCGGCAGGTAGCTTAGTGGTTAAGAGGGTTGTGCCAGTAACCGAAAGGTCGCTGGTTCTAATCCCCGAGCCGACTAGGTGAAAAATCTGTCGATGTGCCCTTGAGCAAGGCACTTAACCCTAATTGCTCATGTAAGTCGCTCTGGATAAGAGCGTCTGCTAAATGACTAAAATGTAAAATAAGCGGATATGTGAAAGTGCCCTTAGTTACATTCCATGTGGAAGTATTGCATAAAGCACCTTTAAAATGTACCTGAGAAAGACAGACTAGTGCCAGTGAAGGAACAAAAGCTGAAACTACTTATTTCCTTCAACCCATTGTCACTGTATTCAGTATAGTAGGGTTGTGCTGCCACCTACAGTCAGTAATGAATCGACCCACCTGATTACTCTAAACAACTCTACAGTCAGTAATGAATCCAACCACCTGATTACTCTAAACAACTCTATAGTCAGTAATGAATCGACCCACCTGATTACTCTAAACAACTCTACAGTCAGTAATGAATCCAACCACCTGATTATTCTAAACAACTCTACAGTCAGTAATGAATCCAACCACCTGATTACTCTAAACAACTCTACAGTCAGTAATGAATCCAACCACCTGATTACTCTAAACAACTCTACAGTCAGTAATGAATCCAACCACCTGATTACTCTAAACAACTCTACAGTCAGTAATGAATCCAACCACCTGATTACTCTAAACAACTCTACAGTCAGTAATGAATCCACCTACCTGATTACTCTAACCAACTCTACAGTCAGTAATGAATCCACCTACCTGATTACTCTAACCAACTCTACAGTCAGTAATGAATCCACCTACCTGATTACTCTAACCAACTCTACAGTCAGTAATGAATCCACCTACCTGATTACTCTAACCAGCTCGTGGAAAGCCTGGTCTACATTCATACGGATTTTGGCTGAGGCCTCCATATACGTCACCTTGAGCTGTCTGGCCAGCTGCTGGCCCTCTTCCTGGGTCACCTGAGGGACGAAACAGGCGCAGGGATACATCTTAGATAAATAGCATGTGCTCTTTTGCATCACCCAGCTGGTGAAGGTTTCGCTTTAGGACCAATTGAATGGTTTCAAATGATCAAACTCTGCCATCTGGGACACAAGGTGATGCCAAACGAACACGCCCATACATTTTATCACACAGCAGCAGAGAGAGCGAGAACCCCCCTAACACATGACCATTGACAAAAGACAAGAATCAGGACACTAGTGACATCTGCTGGTGAGGTTGAGAAACGCATGGGTCAGAGGGTTCACATCCAACTCCTACTGTATACCAGCCAAGACTGGGTCATTAAGAAATATGTAAACAATACAGCGAATGTATGACATTACATTTTCACATGCAAATAGCACCTGATTTCTATGTGCTTAGCTAGAATATTGTTGCTTCTGGTCCGTCCTAAACTATTACGACAAGATTAGAGACCAGGGCCCGTATCCACAAAGCGTCTCAGTGTAGGAATGCTGATCTAGGATCAGTTTAGCCTTTTAGTTCATAATAAATAAGATTGTATGCCAGATCCTAGATCAGCACTCCTACTCTGAGACACTTTGTGCATACGGGCCCAGACCTCATTACAAAATAATTTATTCTACTGTCCTAAAACAGCTGAACCCATTGATTTGCCAGTAATGGGTAGAATTGAATCATACTCCTCAACCAATATGTTAAAGCCCACATTTAGACTAATTCATTTGAATGAATCATATTGAGTTATCAATTCTAACATTATATTCAGTCAATAAAAACAATTATGACAGTAATTGGTGTGATCAATGCATTTCTGTTTGATCAGATGAGAGAATGTGTTTTATTCCAGCAGGTGACAGTGTAGAGAAAGTGAACTGCAGCTGAATGCCAATAAAGGCCACAGAATGAGCCCTCTCCTTTTCACACCCTCCCCCCCTCCTCCTTTCCTCCGTCCCACAATGTTTTTGTTGGTCTCCTTCTCTTTGTCTACCCAAATAGCTCCAGCCACCACCACCACTATCCATTTTCCAATTTCAAAATGTAAATTAGAAATCTTGCACATTTTCAAAGCTTGTTGCTTTATAATTACTTTCCTCACATCACCCTAACATGTATGTGTATTTACATTGTAGGCCTCTGGGCGTTAGGAGGACTGCTACTCACCTGTCTCTGGAGCTCCAGATCTGCTTTATTGCCTACAAGGATCATGGGAAATTCATCACGATCTTTGACTCTGAGGATCTGTCTTTGGAATTTGTAGATTTCTTCAAAGCTGTGAAACGTAAAGCACACAGCATCACTAGATGCCCCCAGTAAACTCTACACATTACCCAGCCAGAAGGGAGCTTGATTACAACTAAAAACTGTTACATAGAGCTCAGAGATGAAGATAAAGCTGAGATAAAGCTGGTGCCTCTGTGGTCCTCCCAGGAATGTTGCCTCGCCGTCACACAAATTAACCCCCCTGCCCTCCCCTCCCCTTCCCCACAGCACCCAAGCAGATGGGGTCAACGTCTCTGTGAATCAGACAGGGTGGGTGAAGGGTGAAGAGGGGTGCACAGAGAGAGAAGTCAATGAACTCCTGTGGTGCTGCATGCCTTAATGTTCCAGAAATGTTTGCTTGAACATTGTAGTAAAGCCTTGGTGAACTTGTGAGCAGCCTCAGTACAGGCTTGCCTGCCTTCCATTGACCAGGGAGGGGTAGCCCTAAGCAGGTCTGTCCCTTTAAGCAGAGCTTTGCTCCCCGTTGACTTGAAAGGGTTTTAGCGTAATTCAAATATCATGCTAACTTTTTGAACCAAACGGCATACATAAAAATATCCCCCAGAGAGAAAGGGAAACAGAATGTAACCACAAACCCAGGAGTGCATTCTAGTGAATGGCCGACGTCGGGCAGCTTAGCTAGCACATAGTAAACGTGGAGAGACTTGACTAACATAAACGGAGGAAGGAAAGACTGTTTACAGCATAAACACAGGGAGAGAGGGGAGGGTGAGACAAACCACCATCACCAGGGGGGTGACAAGGGCCCAAAGACTGCCCACCACAACACTACAGGTCAGCACATAGAGAGGGGATCCATTCATTCTCATCTGGGTGATTTAATGCAGGGTTTTTACACAGAAAACCAAAGCCTTTGAAAAGAGGTGGATGTTCAAAGAGAGGTATATGAGAGAGGTAGAAGATGAGAACAAAAGAGAATGACGAAACAGGTCGGCGAGAACGGAAGTGTGAGAGAACAAGAGAGAGTGAGTGAGAGAGATGTATGTGTTTAGCATGAGAGGGAGAGAGAGAGGAGCAGGCAGACAGACAGAGAAAGAGAGAGATAGACAAAGAGAGAGAGAAGCGTACACCAAGAGAGGCGCAGATAGAGGCACAAACAGAGAGAGAGAGAGAGAGAGGGAGAGAGAGAGTGAGAAAAGCGCAGACAGAGAGAGGCACAGACAGATAGAGAGAGGCAGCATGGGGGCGGCACGTGACTGTGTTGTCACTCACCTTCCTCTGTCAGTGACTGAGAAGACAAGCAGGAAGCCCTCCCCTGTCCTCATGTATTGTTCTCTCATGGCTCCAAACTCTTCCTGTCCGGCCGTGTCCAGGACTAACAAACACAGAGACAGTCACGTTACACACACACACACACACACACACACACACACACACACACACACACACACACACACACACACACACACACACACACACACACACACACACACACACACACACACACACACACACACACACACACACACACACACACACACACACACACACACACACACACACACACACACACACACACAGTAGTACCTCTCCTGAAAAAGGTGCTGTACAAAACTAAACCCTCCAAGATGAGAACTGTAATCTCCTGTGAAGGCTGGTGTTTCTCAATGAACATTAGTGTTGTGGTCAGATTTCTCCTGTTTGTTTACAGGCTGAGGGTCTATACTTACTGTCAAGCCGGGCCGCCCTCTCGTCAATGACACACTGTTTTGTATACGAGTCTTCAATCGTGGGATCATAGTCAGTGACAAAGTAGGACTGGGGAGAGAAAAAGGGAGAGAGAAAGAGAGAGAGAGAGAGAAAGAGAGAGAGTGAACATGGTGTTCAGTAAGGACTGAGGAGACAGACAGCAGAGAAGGCAGAGAGATAAACAACCAGCGTTGGTCTTCTATAGAGTAAACACTCCATCCACTTGTGTTGTTCAGTAACTCGTTGACCTCTACACTACTATGCAGCATGCAGGAGGTAAACACATAATCCTGGCCCGTGTGTTGTGAAAGCCAGGGTAAATACGGACTCACATAACATAACCACTCCACTGTTTCTGAGGGCCACAGGAAAAAGAGGTCATCTGGAGTGTTCATGACCAAAACACTGCTAATGTCAATGACACATCTGTCGTCACTGTTTCAACAATGACACTAATTAGCCGTCTTCCAGAGGCTGGTAATGAAGCAGTGACTGGGACTGCCTGTCTGGCTCCAATGTGAGCAGGAGGCTCGGAGTAGGTAGAGACAGGGCTTGAAGCCTGTCCTATATCAGAGTGGAACACAGTGCACTGGCTGCATGTGGACAGGAGGGGTGTACTCATTGCTGAGCACAACATTACATCACTACAGGTAAAAATATATTTACATTTTAGTCATTTAGCAGACGCTCTTATCCTGAGCGACTTACAGGAGCAATTAGGGTTAAGTGCCTTGCTCATGGGCACAGACAGCTTTTTCACCTAGTAGGCTCGGGGATTCGAACCACCAACCTTTTGGTTACTGGCCCAGCGCTCTTAACCGCTAGGCTACCATGAATAAAACAGCCTAAGTTTGTTTAAATGCATGAAACATCTTTCCATTTTCCTTTTAAACAAACTATTGTGACAGGAGTGGCTCTAATCTGGTAGTGGATGAAATCAGTGTATGTGTATTGATTCATGGCACGTGGCCACCTACTTGACTGTGAAAAATATGCAATGTATTTTTCAGTTAATCCACTGACGTAGATGGAAATATACTGCCTTCTCTCCCTGCCTCTTTCTCTCCCTCAATATACCCCTCTTTCTTCCTACCTACTCCACACACTCTCTAACTCTCTCTCCATATTTCTCCCTTGCACACATAAACTTGCCTCTTCCCATACTATTAGTCTCTCCCTCACCTGAACTCGTTCCTTCTCTCTCCACATGCCTCTCCCTCTCCCCCCATACCTCTCCCTCTCCCCCATGCCTCTCCCTCTCTCCCCCATGCCTCTCCCGCTCTCCCTCATGCCTCTCCCTCTCTCTCCCATGCTCTCTCCCTCTCCTCCCCTCTCCCCTCCTCCCAGTCCTCTCCCCATCCTCTCCCTCTCTCCCCCATGCCTCTCCTCTCTCCCATCCTCTGCCTCTCCCCACCTCCTCCCCCATGCCTCTCCCCTCCTCTCCCCCATGCCTCTCCCTCTCCCCATGCCTCTCTCCTCTCCCCCATGCCTCTCCCTCTCTCCCCATGCCTCTCCCTCTCTCCCCATCCCTCTCCCTCTCCCCCTCCTCTCCCTCTCTCCCCATGCCTCTCCCTCTCTCCCCCATGCCTCTCCCTCTCTTCCCCCCATGTCCTCTCCCCTCTCCCCATTCTCTCCCCTCTCCCCATCCTCTCCCTCTCCCTGCCTCCTCCCATCCTCTCCCCTCCCCCCTCCCCCCATGCTTCCCTCCCCCTCTCCCCATGCCTCTCCTCCTCTCCCCCATTGCCTCTCCCTCTCTCCCCATTTCTCCCCTCTCCCTCCATCCTCTCCCCATGTTCCCTCCTCCTCCCATGCTCTCCCTCTCTCCCCCATGCCTCTCCCTCTCTCCCATGCCTCTCCCTCTCTCCCCCATGCCTCTCCCTCTCTCCCCATGTCTCCCTCTCTCCCCATGCCTCTCCCTCTCCCCATGTCTCCCTCTCTCTCCCATGCCTCTCCCTCTCTCCCCATGTCTCCCTCTCTCCCCCATGCCTCTCCCTCTCTCCCCATGCCTCTCCCTCTCCCCCTCCCCCATGCATCTCCCTCTCTCCCCATGTCTCCCTCTCTCCCCCCATGCCTCTCCCTCTCTCCCCCATGCCTCTCCCTCTCTCCCTAGTCCTCTCTGTATGCGCTGCATGCATGCCAGCCGCCATCACGTCCACTTGGCACTGTTCAATAATTCATCAGCGGTCCTGCATATGTCCTGCAGCCTGCTCTGCTGCTCCACTGCACTGCACTACACTGCTGACCACGTGCCTGCAGAGAGAGAGAGAAGAGTCTACCTGCCGCTCACACTCTCATTTCTAACCTCCAGAACTTAAGGTTCATGCTCTCCAGTCGCCACAGCCTCAGCTATAACATCAGAGTCCCACTCTCTCTGTCTCCTAGAGCTCTACTCTCAGTGAGCCTGTTAACCAGCAGACTGGCTGTTCCTCTGCCGCTCTCTCTCTCTCCGTGCTGGTTCCCCTGATTGATGAGGCTGCAGTACAGTGCATGCTCAGAGAGCGAGAGAGCGAGAGCGAGAGCGAGAGCGAGAGAGATCCAGAAACAGTGCTGGCTGTGTCCAGTAATATATGTGATGGATCATCATATGGCTCATTGGGTACATCACCATTAGCTCCATATTCAACACAGGATTCCTCCCACTGCGGGGTGAGTGACTAACTGGGACAACACAACCACAACAGCCTCCTAGGGTGGGAAGGAGATTAGCTCACTGATCTTACCAGCACCATTCAGTCTTCACTGTATGTACAATTTGAAGAGAGTTACAATTGTGTTTGTGCTATCATGCCAACTCCTTGTCACTCCTTGTCATGCTTAGCTTAACAAGGACAGCGATTGAGTTGGCAAGAGCACAAACAAATCTGGGACCAGGCTACTGAACTTCTATTGTGCTGCCTCACACCACCGTCTCCATGACAACACTAGACAGCCATCACTGCACAGACAGCTGATCCTGTCCAGAGTCCAGACTGACTGGTCAGTCGCTCAATCTGCAGGGGGTCTGAAGTCAGGTCTGCTTGGACACACGCGCACGCACCCCCCCACACACCTAGCCACCGACCCCCCCACAGTGGACTCTCTTTGCACGGTGTCCTGACCTTCAGTCGCACCTTAACACAGATGCCAGTGGGAACTGAAAAAAACACTCCCTGTTCAAACACTCCTGAAATGCAAATATTCTACTCTCAAGTGAATTAACCAACTGCTGCAATGGTAGCTGAGCCTTTTTCATAGAATTACGTTTAATTTGAATTAAAAGCAGCTCTGCAGCAGTAACTTGGAGAGCGGCTGAGGTTAAATCCCTCTTTAACAAAACAGAGTGCTCCTGTAGTCTGACAAAGTTCAGCCAACCCTTCCATAAATTACCTCTGATCCTGTGTGCACCAATTAGACAGCCTTAGACACATTTTCCATATGAGCACCAGGTGTGTGTGTGTGTGTGTGTGTGTGTGTGTGTGTGGTGATGTGTGTGTTGTGTGTGTAGTGTGTGCCGTGTGTGTGGTGTGTGTGTTGGTGTGTCGGTGTGTGTGTGTGTGTGTGTGTGTGTGTGTGTGTGTGTATAGAGTAGACTATAGAGTAGAGTGTAGAGTAGAGTGTAAAGCATGGTGTAGAGTAAAGTATAGAGTATAGAGTGGCAGGTATAGAGTGAGGAGTATAGAGTAGGAGTAGAGTAGAGTATAGAGTATTGAGTGTCGAGAGTTGGGTTAAGAGCAGAGTATAGAGTAGAGGAGTATAGAGTGAGCAGGTTACGAGTAGAGAGAGTATAGTAAAGAGTATACAGCATGGTGTAGAGTAGAGTATAGAGTAGAGCAGAGTATAAGAGTATAGAGTAGAGCAGAGTATAGAGTAGAGCAGAGTATAGAGTAGAGAGCAGAGTACAGAGATATAAGCAGTAGAGACAGAGTAGAGAGTAGAGCAGAGTATAGAGGAGTAGCATTAGGAGTAGGCAGAGCGTAGAGTAGAGTATAGAGCAAGTAAGCAGTATAGAGAGATATAAGCAGAGTTAGTAGAGCCATATTTTAGAGTAGTATGAGCAGAGATAGAGATAGAGCAGAGTATAGAGAGTCAGAGATAGAGTCAGAGAAGAGCAGAGTATGAGTTAGAGAGTAGAGCTGAGCAGAGTATAGAGTAGAGTAGCATATATAGCAGCTAGAGCAGAAGAGTAGAGTAGAGTATAGAGCAGAGTCTAGAGCAGAGTAGAGCAGAGTATAGAGCAGAGTCTAGAGTAGAGCGTAGAGTATAGAGCAGAGTCTAGAGTAGAACGTAGATAGAGCAGAGTGTAGAGTGGAGTATAGAGCAGAGTATAGAGCAGAGTATAGAGCAGAGTAAAGCAGAGTATAGAGTAGAGCAGAGCATAGAGCAGAGTAGAGCATAGAGTAGAGTAGAGCAGAGTATAGAGTAGAGTAAAGCAGAGCAGAGTATAGAGTAGAGTAGAGCGGAGTATAGAGTAGAGTAAAGCAGAGCAGAGTAGAGTAGAGCGGAGTATAGAGTAGAGTAAAGCAAAGCAGAGTATAGAGTAGAGCAAAGCGGAGTACTGAGTAGAGCAGAGTATCGAGTAGAGCAGTGCAGAGCAGAGTATAGAGTAGAGCGGCCTTTGGCTGACGGCAGTCACCCCTACAAGCCCTCCACTCCACTCAGCCCCAGCCACTCAGCCAGAGGGAAGGAAACTAAACCTACACACCAGCCCAGGCCAGCAAAGCCCTCTGATGTCACAGAGGAGATATTCCCCAATTCCCACCCACCTCACCCACCCACTAATTTCCACTGCTGCCTTCCAGCTCCCACCCCCCCCCCCCCCCCCCACCACCCACTCCACACCATGACAACATTAGCGGTCTGTTCACCATGAAAAGAGGGTCAGTGGATCCAGTCTCTCTCTGTACTGATTTAGTTAGCCTACATTGTGCTGCAGCACTGAGGAGTCGTCTCCCTAGTCCACAGCTGCTATACTAACCCTGTCTGTCTCTGACTCTCTCTGATAGACAATCTAACAGATCCTGTGTTACGACTGCTGGCTGCCAGCTTCATCTCCACCAACGGGAAAACAAGGATACGTGTAGGCGTGCAATAAACGCCATGCACCCACGATGCACCCACTTCCTCACCACACAAACAGCTTACCCATGCTATATATATACTCCTTTCTATCTGAGACAGCCATCCCACTCGTTTGGGTAGCAGTAGTCTCACGTAGATTACCGTTATAGCTGATCCAGCATAAGATAAACAGCCAGAGCAAAGCACAGCCATGGATTCACCAACCAGTTCTGTGGAGGGGAGGCCGGAGATTTCTCTCCAAAATACCCAAGGTGATTAATTAACAAAAACACACATATTTGAGGAAAATGGTATGCCTGCCCAGTGGATCATAATAAGTGTGAACACAGCAGACTAAGAAGAAACGGCAGCAACACAGTTAGGAGTTAATTGCCTTCCATATGTTCCCTCAATGCCCTATGAGGATTCAGAGACCTTGACTTCCAAATCAAGAGCTTGAGCTTCTCTAATGAGAAAATGTAGATTAAATGGTAGGAAAAAATGTATTATCCCTTAGAAAAATTCTGCAAACAGCTGCAACTTTATAATATCCCCCAATCCCAATACAGCTCCCCTCTCAGCCAAGCCTGACCAATTCCAGCCCCTGGTCGCGCTGACACAGCGTTAGAGAGACACACACTACGGCTGGGCCTAGGGCAGGGTAGGACCGGGACACTGTGGAGGAGAGGTCCAGTAAGGGGTAGGGGAGACGGGGTAGGGCAGTACGGGACAGGGTTAGGGGGGTAGTAGGGTCCCAAGTCCAAGTGCAGCCATTTCAATTAACAATACAGTTAAACTCAGGCCAGACCACCTAGTGTAGACTCTAGAAATAACCAAGTCCCACCCTGTCAGTGGTCAACACCCCAGTCCTGCCTGCCAACCCTTGATAAAGATGTATGAACCAGCTACCACCACAACTTTACCTTCATTTACAGTACCTGCACAACAGCAGTCAGCCATAACACAAATAACTGCTAATCTTACATTTTTGGGAAGTATGCAGGACTTGATGACTGCATACAAATACAGGTGATGAACTGAACTTCCTTTTCATGTGCATTGATTTATGGTAGGGTTGAACCAGTACCAGCTCAAAGCAGACCCCAGTGAGGCTTGGTGCTTTAACTCCAGACCTGCTTAAGACCTCTCAGATGTTTCTATAAGTGCAGCAACAGAACTCCACCCTTGAAGT